TGGTTTTTGTATTAGACCCGTCGTCCATTTATTTGTAAGTCAATGGGTTCAAAGCAGAAATTTCCTTGTATTAACTAAGTCTTTGCCAAAGTATGATCAATTTTACAGTGACGCTGGTGAAAAAAGCCCTTTAAACCCAGTACAAAAACCTATAACAAACACTAAGTCTTTGCCAAAGCATGATCAATTTTACAGTGACTCTGGTGAAAAAAGTCCTTTAAACCCAGTACAAAAACCTATAACAAACACAAAGAAATTCGTAGGATCTGCTAACTCGTTCCGGGTCCGACGACGGTCCGTAGTAAGTGTTGCTACTGTAGCCACTTTTTTTAGCTAAATAGGTAGCTAAATCTTTGAGCTCTTTTAGTAAGAAAAATAAAAAATTGGAAAAAACAGAAATAAAGCTTAACCTGCAACATCACAAGATGTTGATGTTTGATTGATATTGTAGCGAATCGTAGCAGTCGCTGCAAGTCTCTTTGTATAAAATACTATATATTATAATATAGTCTTTTTAGGCTTAGTTTTATATTTAAATTCTAAATTTAATTGTGATTGTTTTTGGCGCTTTTTCTTTGCTTTTGTTTCTGTTATAAGCTATACGTGTTGTCTAATAAATTAACAAACTGTAAATACGTTTGTTGTCATCTTGCTAGCTCGTTGTTAGCACCCACCCGAACCCATTGATACAGTCTGCTACAGATGTTAATATTTTTTCGTTTTATAATTCGTAAAATTAAGAAAAATATGTATTTAAAAACGCAATCTCAAAATTACGTTTTAGTTTAGCCACTTTAGGCAACTTTAGCCGGAATTTATTTCTTGGAATCTAGCAACTTTTTTACTCAGGTTTAGCTACTTCTTCCTTGGGCACGACAACACTGTCCGTACCTCAGTTGTAGCCACAACTGATGAATGAGTGTTGTACAGTTGGTTAAGAACGGTGACCCTGGCATGGCAAGACGTTTCGAGTCCAATTAGATCAAAGAAATTATTCTTTATTGTGTTACAAACTAATGAAGTAATAACACATAAAATATATGAAAATTATAGTATTATATATAGTACTTATACTTAAACATCATAACGTTCAATAAATAAATATTTCAATTCCAAAGGCAGAAAAAATAGTTTCCAAAGTTTTGTCTGGAATGAAACGAGGTAACTACTCAAGTCACAATGCTCAAACCAATTGCGTCATGGAATCCGATAAATTGAATTTGTTTATGTACTAAATTATGAATACTTATGAATTCGACAACATCACATTCGTTGCTCTGGTCCCAAAGTAAGTAACTGAAGCACTTGCGTTATGGAAATCGGAAACAACGAAGGTACCACAAACCCGAGACAATATAGAAAAGTTAGTTTCTACATTGACCCGGCAGGGGATCGAACCTGGAACCTCTGAGATATCGACACCATGAAAACCGTTGTGCAAGCTACTCGACCACAGTGGCAGTCAAAAAGTTATTTAAATTTAAATTTAAAAATTATAATTAAAGTACCAAGTAAATAGTACCAAGAAGAGATAGGCAAGTGCCCTGTATTAAACCGGCGTGGCGCTTTGTTAACGCTTTGTTTAAATCGGGTTCAAACCCATTAACGCCTGAAATTGAGGACAAAAACTATTTACAACTAAATACTGTTGTAAATGGAATATTGTTCAAATTTAATATTTATATCATTACAAAATGTTAATTGCTTTCTGAATAAAACTTTAAAAACTAAGAGATTTGCCTTTCTGCTGATTCGAGTCACTTGAAAATCTCAAAAATCGTGAGCGTGGAGATCGCTTCATAAAAATCGAATCGTATTAGTAATGAGAATTCGCAGGATTTTTCGCTTTTTCGTCGAATAAAGATTTTGTTACATTGAAATTTGTAATAAGTATAGAATTATACCAAATTATACCGTATTTGCCATTTCCACCCACGATTTTGAGCAGTAATTGATTAAAACCCAGTTAAAACTCGAGCAGGTGATTGGGAACTCACTATCCGTCTCTGGCATACTAAGTATACATATCGTCAAAAAAAATTAAACATTTATACGTCTGTATCTATGTTACATGTTTATTTTAGTATTGGTATAAATTACTAAGCTACTAAAAAAATCATAATTAGCAACTCATAACTCACCAATGCCATCCCTCGTATAGCCACTGACAAGTCACGTGTTGACTCTAGATGGATGGCCGCAAATCATCATCAAGGGAATTCTCCCACCCCGGTATCAAATATCCCTAGACTTATGTCTTAACGGTCTCAAATTAACTGTTACCAATTCACATGATTATGCAATCGTGTCGTGCGTATCTCGCTTGTAATACACTAACTAATATTAAGTTAGATTTGGTGTGAAGTAAGGGGCGGGTCACATTCCCATAGCACCCTTATTAGAACATTGAAAGCGTCAGTTATATATTTTAAATATATATATTGAACGCTTCGTATGTGCTTCATTTGACTAAATAGAGCTACAATAAATATTGTAAAATATACTTTAAAGGTTAACATAAACATTTTTTACTTAGCTATAAGCTAGCTATAATCAAGATAATTGTAAAATATTTTATTCTCTGCATTTTTGAAAATTGTAATATAACAATAATAAATAACCTGAGTCCTTGACCCCGGACGACACTGCCATTGCTGAGGAATACCGTCTCTCCCATTTAAAATTCAAAGTTAATCTGTTAGGCCTTGGGAGAGGCGAGAGTCTAAAATAGATATAATGATAATAATAAAACAATATTACAGTATTATTCCTATTTATTACAGTATTTTCTTAAAAAGAGTGATTATTCAGGAGATGGCCAAACTTTCTATTTATTTTAAATTTCTTATTAAGGGGGTTAATTTGTTTGAATAGGCATAAACCTATTCTTAAAGTAAAGTAAAGCATAGGCAGTGCGTGAATATGAAGGAAATGTGACGTGAAATCAGCCTACAAAATTTGTATATACAATCCATTTTTTGCATTTCAGCAACTTTGTGCTTTAAGATAAGAGTTTGAGAAAGTATGGCGACGAAATGCTTCCAATGCTGCCATCTACGTGATTCTTACATCAAAACCAGCTAACCAAATTCATCGCGTCGATACAAGTCAGTTCCAATCTTTTACAATAGAGGGCGGTTTCGAATTTCAAATGTTCTCGTTATCATTGCAATACTGCTACTCGGTTACAGATGGCACTGTACTACAGGCAATTTAAAATTATAAAATTTTTAGCATTTTTATTATTTAAAATATTAAACCATCAGCAAACCGAGCATTTCTACACAGTCAATAAATATACATTTCTATTGTTTATATATATACGTAGCACCATTTATGACTTTATGTAAATTATAATTTATTTAAGTACCTAGGTACTTTATTTATTTCATATACGATTTTATTGTACCAATTTCAGTAACCAAAAATAAAATAAAGTAAAAAGATAGGTGGAGTGGTAACGAAAGGCTAGAAGATATAATTTTCACGAAATGTCTGAATGAAATCTATAAAAATATCGTAAAAAGTATTGAAAATTACATTTTTATTTTCCTACACCTTTTTGCCTGTTACAATGTCCCTAATAATTATATATT